CGTCGTCGGTTCCCCTTTAGCTCGACTCGTTTTTCTTTTTGATTATGTCAATCTTTATTAGCTCTGGTATACTTGTAATCGTATACTATATACAAATTAGTGAAAGCGCAGAATTCGTAGTAGAAAAAAAAAGAGGCGTGCTTCGTCGACGAAAAGCTACTTGTCATAGATGTCGAGAAGGTGCATTCCCGAAAGTTGTTTTTACACCGAGTTGTGAAATTAAATCGCTGGATCACCGGCTATTTAAAGAAATGGCGGAAAGGATCGATCGCAGACGCGATTCTAAAGCTCTTCAGCTTCGCTGATTCGTTTTTCACGTATCCTATACTTACGCGCGAAACAGAAAACGAACGCGAGCAGTAGATGTTTAAGGATGTAGAAAAAGAAAAGACGATGGACGAAAGGGATAAGATAGTTAACAATCTCGTGAGTCGCAACGCGGATGCGAGTAACAGTTAGTATCGAGCGAGACGTTTCAAGGGGAATCAATGTCAATTACATCGTCCGATCCTTTGCGCATCGATGATGATGCTGATGATGATGATGATAATGATGAAAGCTTGGAACGCTCGATAAAAACTGCATCGCACGCGCAGAAACATTTATAAAGAACGATTAGATTATATCTTCTCTTTCCTCTGTTTTCGGAATTCCGTAGAACCACGTGATATTACGTACACATATCGGGATCGTTTAATAATAATAAAAATAATAATATTAATAATAATAATAATAATAAAGTTAGTGTACCGCTTAAAAAATATATAAGATAACGTGTATATGGCAGTCATCGGAACGCAAACGAACACTGTTTGCGAATTAAAAACGCGAAATTAAGAGAGATGTGCCCCGGGTGACGAACGAAAACGTTGTACAGTGTATAAGTGTAAAGAAACCGTTTAAAAATTAATGGCAAATATAAGACTGGAGATGGGGGATTATGAAATGAACGCGTATCGCGTTGCTGCGTGATCTTTTATCTAAAATAGAAACGTTATCGCTGATCGATTCACTAAGAATCGTGGCTAATTGTAAGTATATATTGTATAAAAAGAACTAACGGACTGCTTTCCTTCCGATAAGCACCGTCGCGTTTAAATTAACCTTGTATATTTAAACATCTTTAAAGGCAATGCCTCACGAGCTACACGTGTGGCGCGCGCGCGCCTATCTAAAAGAAGCTTCGTACAATTAGTAGAAATATAGAAAATCGTCAGAAATAGCGCATATATATCGTGTGCTGATACATGTAGAGGGTGATGACCGAATTTCTTACTTGATTCTTTTTAAGTCGTAAGCCAGACTCGTGTTTAACGTGCGATCTTATTCTCGTGCGCGATAATTCAGAGACGAGAAATCTTGTTCGTCCTTATGATACAGACGGTGTACGCAGCAACAGCAACAGTAGTAGCAGCAGCAGCAGCAGCAGCAGGGGCAACGGTACGAGAATTAAACGAGGGGCAGTCGTAAAGTATCGTCGGTCGTAACACGTAGGTATACATCATGATGAAAGGGGGGTGAGCAATTAATTTTGACAATCGTCGTCGTCGTCGTCGTCGTCGTCGTTATCGTCGTCCACTAACTCGATGACACTAACGTGGGACATCGTCGAGTGTGTGTGTGTGTGTGTCTGTGTGTGTTTTCGCGTATGTATGTTTATATGTACGTGTTTCTTTCTCAACTAGCGATATATTGCTGCGGTGTCGGAAAAATTCCTGGACAAGAACTAAAAAACGCAATTGAAGAGTTCGAGTGGCCTATACGCGCGTGAAATGTGTCACGCGTCTCATTTTAAACACATAGAGATAGCTGTCTTACATATGTATTTCCCTTATTATTCTCTTTCCGTGTGTAATAGTCGACGTCGGTGGTAGGCATGTTTTGTGAAACGGATACGATAATATCAAGTAGAGTCTTCTTTCGTAATTTCTTTCTTTCTTTTGCGTCTCCTAATTAGGTTTTAATCAGCGTTGCTCTTTGCTTTAATTTAATCACGCACAGCGACGAAACATTTCTTTAAAACTGTGTGTGTGTTGTGCTGAGCGGCTTATACCAAACTTCACTGCTCCGGTTTAGCTGAAAATTGGCAAACAAGGCAAACGTTAAGTAAATCAAAAAAGTATTTACGCATCGTGCTTAGGTAAGGCTGCGTGGTATGCGTCTCCTGGGCAACGAACGACTGAATTCAGTTTTACGTGGTTCATCATCCTCGAACTGGGAAGACAGCACACGGTCCATTTTTTATGCCCCCTTTTCAATTTGATTTCCCCATTCTCCGAGAATCGGTATTTTACAAAAATACTAAAACGGCGGCAAGTTGAAATGGACCGTTTTGCAAGATCGTGTCCCGAAATGTCTTCTGAACGTACGGTGGTCGGGAACGTCGCCCGCGAGGGCAATTACAATCACTAAGTGAGTCGAGCATGAATCAGTTCAGTTCACTGTGAGGCGACGAACGCGTCTACGATCAGGGTGTAAAATTTACCTCCGATAACCAAACGTAGTTGTTGTTCGTTTTACTAATAAATTAGCGCGATTCCTCCGATATGAACTATTCTCCGAAGCGAACAGACGAAAGCGTGAACAAACGATACGTATGATATAATAAAGCAATGACGAAACGACGACGGCCACAATGGTAATGTCCAACAATCTCTACGCATGTACAATAATAGGATATAACAGTGATAATGATAATGATAATGATAATGATAATGATAATGATAATGATAATGATAATGATAATGATAATGATAATGATAATGATAATGATAATGATAATGATAATGATAATGATAATGATAATGATAATGATAATGATAATGATAATGATAATGATAATGATAATGATAATGATAATGATAATGATAATGATAATGATAATGATAATGATAATGATAATGATAATGATAATGATAATGATAATGATAATGATAATGATAATGATAATGATAATGATAATGATAATGATAATGATAATGATAATGATAATGATAATGATAATGATAATGATAATGATAATGATAATGATAATGATAATGATAATGATAATGATAATGATAATGATAATGATAATGATAATGATAATGATAATGATAATGATAATGATAATGATAATGATAATGATAATGATAATGATAATGATAATGATAATGATAATGATAATGATAATGATAATGATAATGATAATGATAATGATAATGATAATGATAATGATAATGATAATGATAATGATAATGATAATGATAATGATAATGATAATAATAATAATAATAACAATAATTATACGTGATACTAGAGCGAAACGAAAATAATGTTAGATGAAAAAAAGCAATGAAAAATGCGATAAGAAGCGCCTAACTGAGCTTGGTTTGGTGAGACGATATTCAAATGATTGTGTTTCATATTATATCTCATAATTCTATTCAGTTTCAATGTTAGTGGAAATGTTTTGTCGCTAAAGTACAGTTGGCCTGTACAGTTGGCAAGTGGCTCTCTTTCTTACGAACCCTTTATCTAGACAGATCCCTCCACGACTTGCGGACACGACATTTTATACATTTTATTAAAGCACATTTAGAATCTATCTCGTTTCGTTAGATTTTTTAAATAGCACACTTCTCTCTCTAGGATCAAGACATTTTATAAAGAACACTTTCCCCCTACTTTTACCTCGGATTCTTCTACCATCTTTTTTTCTTTTCTTTTCTTGTATATCGATCGATAATCATAATAGATACGACTGTAATTAGCGACTTTTCTCGTGGCAAGCACACATATGAAACACAGTTAAGCGCACCTCTGTACGCACGAATTCTCTTATTTACGGAGCGGAACTACTTTATGTATACCATAACGCATTCACAATTGGAAGAACATTCCTCTTGTACCTCTCGAGATATATATCTAATTAAGGATGTATTGGCTATACAGTCAATCCCAAAAGTTTATGTACTTTAAAAACGCATTTTTTAAAAAGAAATCAGACGTCGCAAGAACATTGCTAATAATAAACAACAAAAAAAATTTTTCGATTTTTCCGAGATTTTTCCAAGGGGTACCCCTTCAATTTCTTCCAAATTTTCGTTTTTTGCTCATAACTTCCGAACGGATGGACTTAGGGGGATAATGTTTAGAACCATTTTGTAGAGGACAACGAGATCTACAATTTCCATGCAAAAATTCTTCGCTAACACCAATAGTTTACGAGTAATTTGCAAAAAACTGTTTTTTCGTTTTTCGTCAATAACTCATTAAATATTGATGATAGCGAAGAACTTTTGTATGGAAATTGTAGATCTCGACGTCCTCTACAAGAAAGGTTCTATGCAATTTTCTCGTAAGTCGAAGGATTTAGAAGTTATTGAGGAAAAACGAAATTTTTTGTCAAAAGTTGGCTGATTCGACGGTGGAATGGTCGGATTTTATCAGTACCCATAAAATGCCATATAATCATATGGAACTCGTTAAATATTGAAATTAGAAGAGAAATTCATAGAATTTTTCTCTTAGAAGATGTCAGTGCTCACAATTTCAGTACAAAAAATTTTTCGCCGTCGTCAATAATTAATTGGATATTTCCTTCTATACTTTTTAGGACGTAACTATTTATTATTAGCGTTGTTCTTCCGACGTTTAATTTCTTTTTAATTATAGGAAATGCGTTTTTCTAAAGTACATAAACTTTTGGGATTGACTGTATAGCCAATACATCCTTAACGACAAACGGAACGAAAGAGGTGTAACAAAACAAGATTAAAAACAAAAAAAAAAGAGAACAAATGAAATATTACAACTGGTTAAACGATGAGAATCGTGCAGCGGTACGACGACGACGGTAAAGAATAATGATCTAGATGGATTAGTTTGTGCGACTCACCGCAATCTCTCTAAATGTTGTTCCAATTGTGTAACTGTTTTTCTAACAGTTTCATTGGTTTCTCACACTCACTTTCTACTTTTTGGCTTTTCTAAAAATATGATAAAATGCAAAACGTGATCGAGTGAAATGGAGAAACGTCTGCCAGCGCTAAACGTATTATTAAGACGCGCGAGAATAAAATACGACGTGGGAGAGCCTCGATTTCGTTTCGTCGATCTTCGAGGTGATCTCACCTGCCGTTAATTAAACGATGGCGATCGTCAATCATGTGAAAAAGGCGAGGAGAGATCAAAAGCAAATATGGGCCTGTTACGATGAACGACGTAATAAGCGTCTGCATCATGCTTTTCTTCAACGCGATGATTGCCGAATGGAAGAGCAACAGGACGTGGAAAACTCGCATGAGAAAATGATACGAGTAATAAAAGAAAGAAGAGACGTAACATAAATTGCGACTGCGATGAACGATGATTGCAATGAAAATGGAGAGGAGGGTACGAACGAAACGTTTGGCTAAGGTTAATAAGGCTTTGCCGTTCGAACCCCGTATCTTTCTTTACGTTACGTGATATGTCGACATTTATCTTTTTAGTTTACGCGAGCGCCGTTATGTTTTTTTTTTTTATATATATATCTCTGACGAGAGACTCACTTTTTCTTGAGAGTGAAGAAACTGCGCCGCTTGGTCTCGGCTTGCGTGGGCGCGGGCAAAGTGTGCGCCCTGGACGTGCCCGCACCCGACGTACCCTGTGCTGCTTGATTCAACGCGTTCACCCACTCGTTCATCTCGGCGTCGTCTTTAGCCTGAAATAGGAAGTCGGAACCGCTTTGCGATCTGAAACCGGAATTATTTCCTTTTACACTCCGCGCGGCCAGAGTACGCTTGTCTATAGATATACTATTAATTAGCCTAGAGGCTTCGTACTTGACTCGGAAGACGTGTTTCTTCTTGGTGTAATCGCTCGCCACGGTGATAGACGCTCCTTTGAGATCCAAAGGAGACTCTCCCTTGTACGGTTGATCAGGTGCCGCCTTGTACGATTTTTGGTCCGTGTACGCGTACAAGCTCTGCCCGCGAACGACCATGTAGACCTTGTGCCAGGATCGGTTCGACGCTTTCTTCGTTGTGCTCTCCCATTCGTGTTTTCGTTGCAACACGCCTTCGAATTCGTCGTCGGTGGGACTTCGTTGTTCTAGAAGATCAAGTTTTAGAGTATATCAAATTCACACGGAACAAACTCGAACCAGAAATACGAGGCAGACTATTGTTAATGTGCTATGGTACGGTGGTGAAGCACAGGATTCTCCGCACGAACGAGATGATTTGATCGCTGATGCTGAAACGCGCGATCCACCCGAAAAAGACATACACCCTTGTTTCGCTATCATGCATCCATCGTTAGTAGTGTCACAACAGTAGTGTTCGTACACGACTCAACGGAAACGAATGGAGCTGAAAAGATAAAAGTAGAATCCTCGATGCCGAGGGCATCATTTTTTCCATCCAGAGGAGGAACACATCGTGTTAGATACTGTTAAGTTGTTTGAATCGCCGACTCAGTGAATTATCGCGCGGTGGTAAAAGAGAGAACACGTTGGGACACCGGTGGTGTCGAGTTTAATTGCTTACCGGAGATGCTGCGCTCATCGTCACTCACGCCGCCGCTCCGATCTAAACTCGGCGATTTGGCGGACTTTCTCCAGCGGAAGCTCCTGAACGGCGACTTGCTGCGGCTACGTTCCTTACGTCTTAATGTACCGGACTCGGAGGAACCGCTTCCACCTTTCGGAGCTTTCAAAACGACACACGCAACACACGCGCAATTATTAGCTACTTACACATTATCCAATCGATAGTCTAGCTTATCGCTTCGAATCGGAATAGAGCAGAGAGATAAACCAAATCCTTGTTCGGGAATACTACTACGTGATCAGACAGCGGACAGTGGGGATCTGTGTACGAGGAGGACATGCTCATGCGAAATTCCTGAAATTGCTCAGCTCAACGACGACGACGACGACGACGACGACGACGAAGACGACGACGAGAAGATTGTTACCGAGCATTTCGATCGCTCGAACTTCTTTTTTGTTTTCGTTAATAACCGAGACGACGACGTTCGCGTTTTCGCGTAGAAACTGTTATATCCGATATAACCGATAGACGAGATGACGACGATTTTCGATCCGTTTCTACGAAGCAGTAAAATAGAGCACAGCGATTTCTGCAGCGGTTGCGGCGAGCAACCGCAGAGACCTCGCGAACCGGAAGTACACGCGGTACCCGCGATCTCGACGAAAGCACCGGCCTGGAAAGGCGTCGGGATAATTGATACGAATATGCAAGATATATCGTTGAAAGATTACGACGGGAAATATCTGATTCTGCTCTTTTACCCATACGATTTCACTTTCGTCTGTCCCACGGAAATGATACAGTTCAACGATCGCGTAGAGGAGTTCCAGAATTTAGGTATCACACATACACCCTTCCCCACCGAATCCTAGGATCTCACGTCGACGTTAAAGTACACGCGCGCACAGAAATAGTACAACATTGGCTCTATTTAAAACCAGGCTGCGAGATAGTGGCGATTTCCACGGACTCTCAGTACGCTCATCTAGCGTGGATCGTCACACCCCGGAAGCAGGGCGGTCTGGGTGACATGAAAATGGCCGTTTTATCCGACAAGAACCACCAGATATCGAAAACGTACGGAGTGCTCGATCGGAAGGAGGGCATTTGCTTGAAGGGGCTGTTCGTCATCGACAAGGATCAGATAATTCGACACGTCGCGATCAGCGAGATATCTTTATCCCGTTCCGTCGACGAGACGTTAAGAATTTTGGAGGCTTGCAAATTCGTCGACGAATTCGGAAGCACCTGTCCGGCTGGTCCACGCGAGAAATTGGGCGAGACCGGACAGAGCTACTTTCGCACGTGATCACGGAGTGACCGTCGTCTGAACAAGTACATTTACGTTTGTACAACTAGTATTTCTCTACCGTATTTTTATATATAATTTAAAAATATATCAAATACTTATGTATCGAGGATCTCGTATGTGTTTTGTTTTTTGGAGATCTCGCGTACTGGTGAAACAAAACAGTGTGATCCTTACTTGTCGGACTTGTTAGAGCTTGCGGAGATCTTGTGGGGGTAGCGGATGGTGTTGCCTCTCCTCGGGTCGACAGACGTGCAGGTTTCTGAGCATGCACTATACACGTACCAGTTTTAACATGCCATACTTTAAAATTTCAAACGCTAAGATCTAAGGTAGGTATCGGTGAATCAGCGGCGGTAATATGTGCTAATTCAACGATACCTCGTAAAATAGTGAAGCTAACTATTGAAATAAGCAAAGCATACGAGAAGCTTTAGAGATCGAAGCAATGTCCAGGATAAAGGGTAAAGATTAGTAGAGTTAACTAGAAGCTGAAGTTCCAAGAGAAATGTATGCAGCGGTCAAGTTGTATTTCAAATTGTAGTTTTTCAACTCATCACCGAACAGCGCTTACCTTCTAAATTGAAACCAATTACTGGTGAAACGCTCAACGAGTAACGAACCAAAAAGAAAAGTTTAATCTGCTCAATTCGTGCCCAACACCACCACAACCACCACCATCAATTCTTTTCCTTCAAAAGTCTTTGGACCATTTAATGTCTAGATTTTGTTCCGATCGGCGGATCGGAGCTGTTCTATGAAATGCATGCAAAGAATACGATTTAAATCGAATCAGTTCCGAGAAATAATGGTGATGTGAAATACATTTTTTAATAAATATTCGTGTGCTCTTGGGAGACACGAGTCCGCCACCTGTTAAAGAGAGTTAATAAAGGCGAGTAGTAAGTGATCGTAGCAATTGGCAGCGGTAATTTGCCTACGAATGCTGAAAGATAGAAGAATTAAGAAAATTGCTCGATCCGAACTGTGTTCAGTAATTCAAAATACATTTGTACATTCTTTATCATCGCCGCTGCCGCCGCCACCGCCGCCGCCGCCACCCCACAATTCGGATCGATGTTTCTGTAAATAAGAGAGGACAGAGAAAATTTGTCGCCAGAAATGCAGCCAGACGATTGAACTTTATACATCCGTCACCGACTTAAAGCAGGATCTGTATATATATATGTATATAAAAATTTCAATTTCAATTCAACTATCAAGTATCCTGAAAAATATTCGTCGCCCTTTTTTAAACACTGTCAGTTAGTCACAGAGAAGAAGAAGAAGAAGAAGAAGAAGAAGAAGAAGAAGAAGAAATAAAATGTTAGTTAGTAAAAATGTGACGTGTCAAATAGCAAACGAACGATAAAAAAAGAAAGAAAGGTGACAACGTGACGATATGTTAATTTAGTAAACGAGAAGAAGAATTGCACATCAAAGATTAGACTGCGATTAAGAACGAGAATGAGGATATTCGTTTCACATTGGGGCACTCACCTTCCTTGGGTTTAACTTGCGGCTGTGATGTACGTGTAGAAGCCTTGCGATGTGCCACTGTGGTTTATGCATTCCGTGCCGCATTTTAGGGTGCATTTCAAGGATGGGAGTTTAGACGGGATTTTTGTAACGGGAAGGAATCATAGTTGATCGACGATAGGTCGGAGACAAAGAGAGAGAGAGAGAGGCAAAAATAAACGTGCTGTTAGCAATTTCATGCTTATTCAAACAAACCAGTTTCGAAAACCAGTTGCCTCGAGAGTTAAGTGTTTCAAAATATACGGTACAAGCGGATTCGTACGGATACGCTACGCTTTGTATTAGTAGAACACGAATTAAAAAAAAAAAAACAGGAAAAAAAATAGCAATCGTTCCCTTTTCTCATCGTAATTCAATCGATGGTAATCGTGTGTGGTCATCGAGAAATATTGCTTTTTGCGAGACGTTCGAAATCTTTTTCGTTTCTCTTTAAAGAATTAATTCATTAGTATAGTGTCTTGATATATTCTCTTACCAGCTGACTCGTCTTCCCCGGCAGGGCGTTCACCGCTAGTCACACCGTCCGCTTCGGCTCTGTTAAGCACAAACGCGGTACATTGTTAACACGTCGGAACAATTTTCATTCTAAATATAAAAGACCATACCTCTCGCTGGGTGGTTCGTCTGGACTAGTTACCGGAGTTGCCTTGGCTAATCGAGCCGCCTCGGCTGCCGCCGCCGCCTCCTCTTTCTTACGTCTTTCCTCTTCTTCTCTCTCTTGTTCCCTCCTCTTCATTTCTTTCAATTCGAACTACAAATAGACAGACCGGTGATCCGGTTAAATTACGATTTATCATCTCTTCTCGCGTTCTTCGCGTTTCAAAAATACTGTGCTGACCGTAGTTAGTCGATGCAAGGCACTGAACCTTTCCTCCTGCGCGGCTGCCGATTTCTCGAAGGCTTCGTGCTTCTTGATCAAGTTCTCCACCTCGTCGATCGTATGCTGTATACGCAGTCATGTTATTACAGGTTTACGGTAAAAAAAAAAAAGAAGACATTAAAATCACGTCGAACAAAGAATATTAACGATGCGACGAGATTACTTACGCCTAATTCTTGGCTCATGAGATATGGCTCCTGAGCGATTAACCAGGCCTCGGCAACCGCTGCGTCTCTAGCGAACTGGTATACTTCCAAAACTGGGGAACGTGTGCGAAAGAAAAAAGAAACACGTTAATACGGAACGTGGCGAGCTTAAGACCTAAATTTGCTTACTCAATTGCAAATTCTCCCAACGTTCCTCCCATCTGTGCAGTAACGCGTTCCTGTGATCGGTAAGCGTTGCCAATTTCTCCTTGATCTGGCTGCTGGCGTAATGGTTCCTAGCCAGTAGATCCTTTCCAAGATTGATACACGCCATCAGATTGTCCTCCCTGGCGTCTATCTCGGCCTTCAAACTCTGATGATTGTTCATCAACAATTCCACTCCGGCGACGTCGCGAGGCTTCTCCGAAGTGTTCATCTGACGAACCACGTCGTCCATCCAGATCATCAGAGTTCTGACCATGTTGAAGAACCGGAACAAGTCTCCGGTATCCTCCAGTTTCATTTTCCTGGCCTCGCACAGCGACTTGAGGTTGTTCCAAGCGGCGACCACTTCCCCTTCACGGTTCGTTATCTCTCTAGCCTTGTCGCCGGCGTAACTGGCTTGCAACTTGGCCGATTCCTCTTGGATCATCTTTACCTGAGAGTCGAGCGTCGACAGGTCCTGCATGAAATTACCGTGTTTCCGTTGCAGAGCAGAGACCGAACCAGCGTCGCGACCCAACTCGTCCGACATCGCGTTCTGTTTCTCCAAAATTCTTCCGAGCACGTCCTTGCAGTCATGGAAGAACTTGTGCAATTCCCGGCTAGCCTGCAACATCTGCGTGCGAGTCTCGATCAGTTCCAATAGATCTTGCCAGACCTCGTTCAAACCGTCTTTCCATTCGGCGATAGTCGCGGCGTCGGAGTGTCCGGTCGCGATCAGAGAGTCCGCGATCCCGTTCACCGCGGCGACCCTCTCCGATCCTATCGCCTCGGTGTCTCTGGCGAACTCCTTGAATCTCTCCCAGAGCAGAGTCACATGATCGTAATCCTGGCCGAGTTCGTGGCTACCGGCTACCACTTCTCTCTCCGCGATCCATTGCTCCAGATCGTCGACTTCTCTGTTCAGCATGAACAATTGTAGGGCCTCGTCGAGTTTCGCACGGCGTTCGCCGGCCAGATCCTTCAAGCCGGCGTACAGTTTGTCCACCTGCGATTGCTTCACGGCGATCTGGTCGGCGAGAGGGTGTCGTTGGTCGTTGATCAGTTGCCTAGACGTTTCACCGAGCTGACGGATGGTCTCCGCGTAATCTTCCACGGCGTGCTCCAGGGACTCGTGTTTCTTCATAAGGTTCTGCGCCGAGATCTCGTCTTTGCCGCGATCTTCCACCATCATGTACAACTCTTGCTCGCTCATCCAGGATTCCGCCTCGGTCGCGTCGAAGAAGTACTGCTGCGCCTTCTCGTTCTGCAACAGATGTTTGTTCCTGTCGTCCACCGCGTCTTTCAGCTCCCGCCACTTCTCCGTCAGTTCAGATATCAATGTCTGGAACTCGGGACTGTCCTCGTGGCCCTCGTCGATAAGCTTCTGTCCGTTGTTGCACACTAGATTGATCCTCGGCTCGTGGTTCTCTATCTCCGTGCGGAGCGATTGATTCTTCTTCTTCAACGTGTGAACGTTGAACAAGGAGTTGCCGTATTCCGTGCTGGTCGCCTGTGGCATCTTCTCGCCGATCCACAGCTTCTCGTCCTCCACGTCGCGTCTGAACTGGAAGGCCTCCTTCTTCTTCTCCAAGTGACGTTGCCGGTCGATCAACGGCGCCTTCAGTTGCTCGAACCTCTGCGCGACCTTCTCCTTCTTACACTTGATCTCGTGCATCTTATCGTCGGGCACCGTGCGCTGTAAATGCTCGGCCTGTTTATCCAGCTCGGTGACCTGTCTCGCTTTCACGGCCATCTGAGTTTCGATCATTTGTTGTTTCTGCATCAAGATGTTCACCGACGCCAAGTCGGAGCCAGTGTCCGTGCTCTCTATCTGTTTCTCGAGCTCGTTCATCCAGGAATCGATGTCGTCGCAGGTCTGATGAATGAGAACCTCGCGATTCGCGTCGAACAGCCGTTCGCCCTTGTCGTGAGTCGTAGTCTCCAGCTCCTCGAACTGATCCGCCAACTCCGCCACCTTGGGCTTGACTATCTCGGCCAGGTCGGGTTTCTGTTGTATCAATTCCTCGGCGGCCTGCTGCAACTGCTGCAGGCGATCCTTGTTGCTGGCGATCTCGGCCTCGAACGCTTGATGCCTGGTCCACTTGCTGTGCACCGTCTTCGCGCTTCTGTAAGTCTCGTCCTGAGCGGTGATATGCTTCTCCTGGACCCACTCGGCCAGCTCCTCGCAGTCCTGCAGGAACATTTGCAACTGCAATTGATCCTTGAGCCTCTCCATGCACCGGTTCGCCTTCTCGCGGTTGACACGGCGACGCTCATTGATGCTCTCCGCCTTCTTCCTGACTTTGTCCGCCGCGAAGTGACCCTCGTCGACCAGTCGTCCGGCGAACTGCACCACAGAGTTGATCTTTTCGTCGTTCGCGTCCATCGTGGTCATGAACGCCTCGTGCCGCTTTATCATGTGCTCGGCCTGCTCGAAGTTCGCCGGCGTCTCGTCCTTGGCGAGAATGTGCTCTTGCTGAGACAAAAGCACCTCTGCCTGGCGAGCGTCGCGATCGAATATCTGCAGATTCAACGAATTCGATAACAACAACTGCCTGTTGACCCACATCTGATGCAATTCTTCCCAGCCGCGCTTCAATGCGTTCAACCTCTCCCTGAGGAACATGTACTGCGTGTCACCGTCACCGGCCTCGCTGGTCAGCCGTTCGCCGTACTCCATCATCTTCTGATAGTCGTCGGTATAGTTGTCGATCTCCTCCTTGATATTCTGATGTTGCGTCAATAGTTTCTCGGCGTCGGTCAACGTGGTCGGCGTGTCCTCGCTGGCCACGTCGGTCTGCGTCTTGGTCAGCCAAGCCTGGAAGTGATCCAGATCTCTGAGGAATCTGTGAAGATCGCCGGCCTCCTCCAGTTTCGCGTCGCGCTCCTTCAACATCTGTGTCAACTGTTCCCAAATAGTCTGTATCTGATCGATCCTCCCCTTGATCACCTCGGGATCCTCCAAATTCTGTTGCTGAATGTTCTGCGCCTCCTGCTCCAAAGCGTCTAATTTCGCTTGGATGGCCGCTAAGTCGCGCTCCATGCCGCTCAGTCGACGCTGCAGTGTCATCACTCCGGTCAGATCCATCTCCAGGCTGTCCGTCTGCTGGAGAATACGCTTCTTGTCCTCGATCCAGGACACCGTCTCGCGGCACTCGATATGGAAAGTTTGCACGCCGTGCGCAGAGTTCAATTCGTCGCGCTTGTTCTCCGCTTTCTCCCGTAGTTCGGCCCATTTCTGATTCAGCTCGTTCTGACGGGCCACGATCTGCTCGGAATTGGGATGCTCGACGTGCAGCAGCTGCCTCGCTAATTGATTAACGACGGCGACTCGCGACGCGTTCGCATACATCTCCTTCTCGAAACCGTTGTACCTGTGCTTCATGATTTCGACGTCCTCGATATCCTTGGCCGGCACCATGGTCTCCAGCATGCGATTCTTCTCGCCGATCCATTGCTCCACACCGTCCGACTCACTGAACAGCTTGTACAACGACAACGCGTCCAACAATCTCTGTTTGCGTAGTTTCGCGAGTTCCATGAGCTCCTTGTACCTCGAGTCGATGGACGCCAGCCTCTCCAACACTTCCGGCGACTTGGCGTCCTGTTCGCCGAGGGCGGAGACCTGTTGGTGAAGCTGATCGATGATGGCGGCATAGTTCTTGAGCTCGTCGGTGACGTCTTTATGCTTCTTCAACAACGACTGAACGTTCGCTTCGTCCCTGCCGACGTCTTCGGACGATACGAGCCGCAACGTGTCCAGCATCCAAATATCGATGTCGTCCGCGTCCGCGAACAGTTGATGATAATCCACGGCCTCTTCCAGCCTCTTTCTTCTGAACGCGGCCAAGTCCAACAGATGATTCCACATTCCCAATATCTCTCGGAGCCTCTCCTGGATCCTGTCGGATCCGAAATGTTTCTGACGCACGAGCTCGTCACCGGCAGCGGCCACGGACATCAGCTGCGGCTCGTGCGACTGTATCTCGTTCTCCAACGCCTTGTGCTTCGACAACAGCAAGTTTATAGTGGTCAAGTCGTGGCCGATGTCCCCGGTGGACACGATCTGCTCTTTCTCCTTTATCCAGTTCTCTTCGTCGGCCATGTCCCAGTAGAACTGCCACAGTTTACGGGACTCCTCCAACCTGGCTCTGCGCTCGACGGCCAGACGCACTAGTTCGGCGTACGCGTCTTCGAGCTGTTGCACGCGCTCGACGATAATGGCCGGGTCGCACGGTCGGTATCCCTCCCCGCCGTGTTCCAAGAATCTCTGGCTTTGCTGGACGACAGCTTTTACCCTCTCGCCGAGGACGTTGATATCGGCCTCGACCAGAGAATGTTTCTGCAGAAGGTCCTCGACGCCCATCAGGTGCTTACCGTAATCGTCGGTCAACAGGCGCATCTTGATCTCCTCCATGCTGTCCAGGATGTACAACATCTCCTGGAAGTTCTGTTGCAGTTGCAGAGACAGCTCCAGCCTCACACGCCTGGCGCGAAGCAGATCCAACAGGTAGTTCCACAATCGTAGAACGTTCTCTTTGCGAGCGTTGATGCGTTCGATGTCGTGGTAGTTCTCGGCTTCCAATTCTTGAGAAACAGCCATCACAGCCTGGACTCGTTCCTCGTAGGCGAAGATGTCCGTCTCGATGGCCTCGTGCTTCTTCGCCGCGGCCTCGACCGCGGCCAAATCGAAGCCGAAGTTGTCCTGAGAAACGAGACGTTGATTCTCCGACAGCCAGGTCTCACGCATGCTGGCCTTTCGATTGAACCTCGCCGCCAGTTGCTCCAGCTTCTCCTGTCTGATCAACTCTTCGCGCAGGGCCAACTCGCGTTCGTGTTCCGCTTTCTCCAGCCTCTCCCACGCCTTATTGATGTCGGATATCATCTTTCCCTCCTTCGGCGTGTACGGTTTTTGGTTGTTGGCTCGCATCTTAGATTGCAACGTGAACAGCAACACTTCCAGGTTACCTTTCTCGACGAACTTTGGGGGTTTCTCGACGGTACGGTAGTTGGAGAATTGGGAGAGTTGCGACTGGACTCCTACCAAGGAATTGGCGAATCGGCGATCACCCAGAGCCTCTATAGTGCCTTCTATCCAACGCAGAAGATCGCTGGTCAAGCTCTCGTATTCGTGTATCATGCGATCGTTCTCCATAGCGATGCCGACCACCTTGCCTATCCTCTTACCCTGCACGGTCTCCTGCTTCATCTTGGAGAAGTAATGGTAATAAGTGACGACGTAAGTGATGATCGATTTCTCGTCCGGATGGTCGACGAATATGTCTTCGGCGTCCAAAAGTTTCGTGAGCCCGAGCTTGTCCTCGGCCACGTTGAACGCGTTGTTCAAGTTGTAAATAGCGTTCGATTTGGACAGTTTGTCGAACTGGATCAAGTCCGGTCGATGTTTGTGAATGATCGCGTTGAAAGCAAGCCCGTCGCGCCAGGACGTGGTGAAGTTTCTCACGTTTACGTTGTGATAACCGGCGGTTTTCATCTGACACCAGAGCAGGAGGGCGTCCTTGGCCGACTTTGTCTCTTGATTGTCCGTTTCTTCGATCGTGATGTCCTGGATCTGGAACCGCAGGATTATGGTCCAGATGAGGCCGAGGCTCAAACGCGGATTTCCATCGACTATGTCGTGGGATCCCATGTTCTCTAAATGCACTCGCTGTTCCCGCAGAAATTGCAACGCTTTGTCGACGTTCTCCAAACAATGAATCCGCATTTTCCCCTTGGTCGGTCGTGGCAAGCGTTCCCCGGACAGGATCTCGAGGAGCTTGATGAGCATCTTGCCATCTCGGAGGTCGACGTACAGATCGCCGATTCGGCAGGAACACCGAACCAAATGGGAGTTGACCCATTTTTGGAAGGTTTTCTTCTGTACCAATTCGCGTTCACCTGCGAATGAATACGAAACCGTTAAACATTTTCGGAATCACGAGGAGCAGCAGCAGCAGCTTACATCAATCGTTTCATTTTCACCTCTCAAGCCGAACACACACGTATTTTATCGTAATCAATTGCCACAAGGACTAGCTATCTAGCTGATACAATGTTTACCTCCGTTTCTTTTTCTTAGATTTTTTTTACAAGGCGCATGAACGCGCGATCGAGTAGATTGCTATACACGCTCGCACAACCGTTATTGAAATTTTCGGTGTTCAAAGTTGATTCTTTTATTACGCGTTGCGTATGGACATCGAGGAGAGATAAAAAAGAGAATGCGAAGTCCGTACCGGCTAAAGCTTTGATCCGTGAACGTTCGAAAAGCCTCGAGCTCGAGTTTCCTCCGTCGTATTCGTACTCATCGACGATCTCTTGTTGTAACGTGGGGTCCCAACCCCCGCGCACTACCGAGATGTCGGTCGTCATTTTCTCGATCGGACCAACAGCTCACTTCTGTCTCTCTTACCCTTCGCGCAAGGGCGCTCCTGAAACAGAACAATCCGACGCTGATCACTGATTGTCCTACCACCTACGAGGATATCCTCTCGTTCTAACCCAGTTGGAAAAAAGGTCCAGAAGCAGTTGGCGATATTTTGTTCATGCGAATGAAAGCCGGGTTCAATCAAAGAGTCGTTGTTCATTGACTGTGGCCAACTGGCTACGCCATTGGCGCATATTTCGCACGTGTGACATCATTCTTGTGATGTAATCGCGTATTACTGCCGCGCGCGCGCGCGCACACACACACGCAGCCTTGATAAAGCAACGGGTTCTCCATCGAGAACCTACCGTCTGAAAATAAGCACGGCGCACTGGAGGACGTATCGTCGTTGTATCATCGATTATGAGTATTACATCGAACAAGTCCTCCTCCTTTGTCTCTTCCGCGCATCGTTTTATCTTTACCCTTATCACCGCGTACTCTCAAGAGTAAACGTTCGCTATGACGAATTATGTACCCACGCACGCCACTCAAGCATTGTTTGCTGTTCTGGGAATAAATCTCCTCTTATACGTGCTACTATTTTTGCATTAGTCACACTATACTACACTACACCGAAGTACTGCACTTTCGTTCGGTTCCTCAGCTAATAAAGAGACATTTGGATTAGACCGATCACGGCCACTGTAGTTATCTTTTCTCGCTTCGCCCACGACGACTCGCGAAAGAAAGCAAACATGCTACACACCGATAAGATTAGTTTGCAGTTGTTATCTCGGCAAAGAGAAGAGACAGACGAGTCTGGTAGGAGGGTAGGTTCCTCACCGAAATTAAAGTGTTTTTATTTATCAAATTACGATCCTATTGGAGAAGGAAAGCACGTCCCGTTAAAAGACACGATCATCGTCGTCATCGGGGCGAGGATGAAACTAGGGAAAATGCACGGACCGAACGAAAGCGTGTAAAAAAAAAAAAAAAATGACTCAGAATGGCTTGGGACGAATTGAGAGCAATTACGCGAGCACCGGTATACTTTAATGAGCGTCGTCGCGAGAAAGCAAGGGTCGTGTACTTGTTAAAGATTAGCTGGTTCTGACCAAGCGTGGGCGGAGTGAAATCACAAAAGTGAACGACACGATCGAGGGAGATGTTCGCCCGCCGCCGCCGCCGCCGCCGCCGTCGCTACAGTAGAGGTATACAACAGCAGTCCCCAACGTTGGACAATTCTACAGACTGACGCGTGTACAAATTGTGTTTGCAGAACACGTTAAAAGACTGTTCCGCATGAAACTCTTATCATTAGTTTCTCACTGTAACCAATACTGGCTATAGCAAAGGGGCTCTCGGTGGTGGTAGGTAGTTTGGTTTACGTTCACCGAGTTAATCTCCCGTATAATCGGTGTTCCATGCATATTACACGTCGACGTCGTTAGCTCGTGTACAAAAGAGAACGATGCAAACGCGGTGTCGACGGTAAGATGAACTCGCCGCCGAAAGAACACGGCGAAAGAGCACAGCTATTGATTTTCCAACGGAGTCACGGCGGCGCCGATACATGGGGTGTCTCCTAGGGAGGAAATTTGCCACTCGTTTGCCATTTTTATTCATTACTACGATATTAGACTCGTGCCAACGGCGACGAATTCATTAATGCTTAATCGGTGTGAAGATCACGTGGGTGGCGTTCGAAGTAGTCAACTATTTGCACGCGTCGACTTTACGATTGGCAACCAGCTGATCGGCACCTACGGTTTAGAAAAATCGATTGTCTCAACGTGTGGGATGTACAATGGGGGGTGGGAAATTGTGTGATTGATGGTCGAAGGAATAGAAATAAGCGAGTATCAGTTTGGTTCGAGGACCGAAGAATAATCCAATTTACCGTATCCCAGAGGATGGGGTCAGTTAACGACGTTAAGAGCGGAACTATACGGTGCAGGGTGTGTGTGTGTGTGTCTGCATCAATCGGAATATTGAATGAACGATGATAAAAAAAAGCCACGTTATCGTACGTGCCTCGAATTATGTTCTCAAACTGGTGGTGGTGGCCAAGACTTTTGCCGATTTCAAGAAAGTAGAACCGCGGCGAGGTGGCATGCGATACCGAATCTGCTTTTCTGAATCCCTGCAAGTTGCAGGTTTTTGACCTTTCGTAACTCCGTGCCGAGTCATCTTTGATAAATAGAAAAAAGCATGCGTCCATTGCCAAGGAATTTCAGAACGGCGTACAGTAATAATCGAACCCGGTGGAAAACGCACCGTCTACCGAGAGCCGTTTATCGTCACGGACTGTTGAACGTTGCTCGAAGCCTCCCCGAAGCAGCGCGAGGGAGTACTACACTTCCAATTACTTACGAGACAACGTGTGGTATTCGCTAGATTTGTCGTTTATCGTTTCAAAAATCGGCTAACGTCTGCAATAAGTGTATTGCTATAGTAACTATTCCGGGAGTACGAAAAGCGACAAAAATAGAGTGCGAAGGGCAGAAGAGAAAAAAAAAGACAGTCGATTAAGGCTGGGCGGATGGCTGGTGCATAGAGCTACAGCTAATCCGCCGCTGTACACGAAACTACGTCACGTCCGCATTTGCGTTAATCTCTGCTGTCGGTCGGTCGACTTGGTTCGACCTCCATCATTTACTTGAACACATTGGTCGTTCATCGGTTTTTAACTGTACCTCTGCTGCGCGTCTCGATCGAATCCCCTCGATTCGTCGTCGACGACGACGACGCAGGTGAACAAAAAATGGTCAATCGCCCGAACAAATCGATTTTACCCTCGTTTAATTTTGTCCCCGCAGGATGAAAAGCGTTTATAAATACACGCGCCATGAATCATCGGCTCGACGATGCGAACCGGAAAAAGCAAAGGAACGATGATTCAGTCGACTAGATGGAAAAGTCGAGCGAGCACGAGGGAAAGCAGGAATTTTCGCCGTCGTCGCCGTCTTTTGTTTGACCGCGCGAACCGTCGCAAAACCACAGTTTCTGACCCACCGCGCGGCTGGTTTCAATTGACAAATTTAACATTGGTTAATTAGTCGGTCGCACGTTCGCACACGAATAGAGGATCTGCACCGTGACCGGTGAAAAATAAACATCGACGTCGAAACGCGCCTACTCTGGGGCCTACGCAAACATCTCGGATTTTCCCTGCTCGCGTCGATAAAAGAAATGTATCTTGTACTAATGCGCTCTATGCATCTCGTGCTGCTACGATATTCGTGCCCATAAATGTTTTACGAGATTTTTCGTACAAAATTCGTGCACTACTTAAACGTGGCTAAGCGCAAGTGACCACTGATGAGGTAAAATATTGTGCGGGAAGTAATCGAAAAATTGAGGAACACGTGTCCGTGGCCTCTCACGTATTAAACCTTATAACGCAGTATACCGTTTCCGTCGCTAATCAGGGCAGAAAAGTTATAAACGTCCCCCGCAAGATATTTTTAATCCAGTGTCGGATGAACGGTGAGATTAATCAAAAGTTCTCACTTTTTCCTCGCGAATGAATTTCTGTCCACCGCAATTAAAGAACGTCGTACGATTTATATTCCAACGGTCGACGAGCAACGCGATAATTTTTTTTCGTGCTAATGCTCCTCGTAAACATGATGGATGACATCATGCGCGGCGGGCATTCCTATGGAAATACATATAATATATGATCAGCAGCGATAATTAGGTTTGCAATTCTTTAAACTCTGAATCAAGGGCCGACCTTCAGTCAGTAAATTACATTTCTTAAATTAGACGCAAAGTGAAACACTGTAGCGTAGGGCGTCAGAGTCTGCTGCACCGAACAATTACGGAATCAGGTTTCCAGGGACACGAATCGAGTATCAAAAACGCGAGACGTCTTGTACACTTACTATAACTGTGTCCGGTATTAAATACGTGCGCCGTGACAGGTTGAACATCTAATCCCGACTGTCCAAGATGCAATCGAATTCGAGATAATCCCCGTAACCTCACTAATGCAACACTTTCACGAGTTCTGAAGATGGCATTTTTGTAAAATATTTACAACCGCGATTAAAACAATGAATATAAAAAACTAACAGGCGCGACAGTAGTTTATTAATTTATGCTGAGGACGCCGCACACGCCCAAGCCCGGCAACGGTGACGTAACTGTAAACACAACAGAAAGACACAGTAGAGAGAGAGAGAGAGAGAGAGAGAGAGAGAGAGAGAGAGAGAGCAAGTTGAAAGGAAATGCTCCGAGATTCAACTGTCACAATTATTGCACGAGTCAATAAGGCTCGATCAATCATTGCAAACATTACCGCTAAACGAGCACCAACGAGTAAAAGATGATTCTATTCACCATTTTTCCACGACTTGAAATTGTCGTCTGCCTGGCCATTATTTCAGGCAACGATTGTGTCTGTATACGACAACTGAGAAGGTTTTCGTTAATGACTCAGCACCGAATTTGGTGACGTGACGTGAAATCGTTTACGAGCTGCCAGTTTGTAACGGCGGCGACGTCACCAATTGGAAGAACGATGCCACGCGATTAGCCCGTTATTATTAATTCCGGAAGCTGGAACATGTGCAATAAATAAAAAATGTTGGCCGGTGCACCCTGATTATGGGTATTTTCGGGCATGCGTGTTCGGTTTCACGAGCGATGCGTTTCTAGGAAACGCCTGTCTCATATAGACGAGATTACCCGAATTTCCCGACAAGTCGTCGATTGAACAGGACATTAACCGCGAGGTTCCTTCTTCCATCTCCCGATGTATCCTTTCCTCGGCACGTATGTATAAAACGATTTTAATAGGTCAACGATAACGAGGTGACACTTTTTAAACGTGTCGATGGTGTTCCGGCGAACTCGACAGATTTTCAATAAAGAAGCGAAATTAGGTCACCGACAGATAGACACCGTCTTGACAGGTGAACAAAACCATCGAGGGAGTAGCGGAAATTAAAGCGCTATAAATGTACGTACCTTAAAAAGACACGCGAGACGATCGCTCCGAAAGTAGAGTCGAAATCGCGTCGCGGGACTAAACACTGACTAGATTAAACAAATGACGAGCCACACGCGCACACGGCAAGAGGAACCGAGAGAACTGCACGTCGTGCTTTAATCGCGCACAGGTTCGCCGCTAGAATCGATGTCACACGCTTGATCGCGTACAGTCGATCGTAACAAGTGACGAACGAATAATCCAACTACTCGTTAAAACGCGCAAACAGGATTCGCACGGTCGTCGGGAACGCGAGCGTGTACAGAAACGACGTTCGGCCAGTCAAGAGTAGTAAGAAAACCGTCGAAGCCGAAGGCGGTACACGCCATTTTTATCAGTTAACTCTCAACCGTCACGAGACGGGCGCCGTAGTAAAACTGTGTCGATCTTACGTTTTCCAACTTGAACCAAACGTGCACTTACCTTCTCGCAAGGATACCCTACGACACCGACGTTTTATTCCAGTGCTCGCATAAAAACTAGCCGATGTACACCAAAAACCACCGATAACGATCTACACGAACCCGTCCACACGCTTGATCGGCGCGCAACTGACTGAGCGCATACTTTGCGCTACGCCCGTCTACGCTAGCGTAACTCAGTTCCAGTTTCGATCCACCAATAAAAAACACGTGTAACGTTTATGAATAACTGCATCGAGCTCTACTATTTAAACGTCGTCGTCGTCGTCGTAGTAGTAGTAGGACGTTTTCGAGTAACAACTTTTACGATAGAACAACAGTGAACGGAGGATTGATGACATAAAAGACCGCCTGATCTGAGAATCAAATCTTTATGGATCATGTTGAAACAATCCTACTTTCAAACGCAAGGTATCGAATTTCTTAATGAAACAGTCGTTGCATGGGATCCATCACGTTCTCGATCAGACAGGGAAAATCTATCGATTAATTTCAAACGTTGAAACGATCATTTTTTTATAATTCCATATAATATATGTATACACGTTTTACGACATTTGAAAACGATTCGTTTTCGATCGAGGAAATTTCTCTCGCGCCACCCCCCTCCCCTTGTATAAAGCATGGAGCGTGTATTTTACCTGCCTTAACAGTCGGCGTAGGAATACATCGTGGCTTATGATGACATCACTATATAGTCACCCATATTCTACTATATGGGCACGCCCCATCCTCTCCATATACACGTTACGAGCAGTTCCCGATACAAATCCATAATTTCATTTAATTGCGAGCAAACATTTTTCCGCCGTTTATATATATATATATATATATATTCCAAAAGCTGATGTGAAACTGCTGCTGCTGCTGCTGCGAACAATAAATGAGTCGTTGACATCTTCCTGTAGAAGCATATCGCTTGCTGACTGGATACTTTTTTTTTTATTACAATTTTATTATACAACTGATGCTCGAATGAACAGCGATTTAAATCACTTTAATGTTAAACAGTATGTAGAGTAGATCACAGTGTATATATAAATAGGACGAGGAAACATGTGTACATTTATATACATGGTACGAGTGAAAGTCTCGATCATATGAAATTGCAATCTGGCTTATCCCTTGCGATCCTGGCACGAATAATGGACAATCTCGCCGTTTGGATATCTCGCGAACGCGCTGAAAGAACGACCAGTTCAGTAACAGAGTTCGTCTATACAGTGCAGTGTCTATATACAGATACAAACCTTTGATTGCCAAATCGTTTCTTGCACACTGGGCATATATTAAACTCCGTCATGAGAACGCTCTGCGATTCGTAATGCATACGCTGCTCCTGCACTTGCAAGTGTTCGGCGCACAGCAAACCCTTCAATACTTGTATCCGCCTCCTCGCGTTCAATTTCTCCTGCAAGCTCACTTCCAAAAAGTGTTTTATCCTACCTATAGGAACTGTATCCGGTAAAACTTCCAGCGCCTTTAACGGATTTATCTTGGACGCGTGTTTCTCGAGCAGCTGAAGCGCCATTTCCAAATCGGGTTGCGCCGTTCTTTGAATTTCTGGGCTACCACATCCTGGATCCGTAAACGATCGTTAATTATCGCTGACAATAAACGCACGTACGTCAAAAGTGTTTTACGTCTACCTGTCGCCGCTCGTTGTTCGGGTTCAGTCAACAGCTGTTGAATAAGCAGCACATACACTTGATCAGCTCCACCGTCCGACTGTTTTTGTTTATCTGCATTTTCTCGATGGTCTGAGAATGGAAGAAGAAGGAGAAGAACGTGGCGCGTTTGTATCGTAAAAAAAAAAAAAGAGTCGTTGTTACGCACTTTGATGATACGCAGTGTAGACGTTGTGACAGTACTCGGTCGCCTTTTGTACATCGTTGAGAAGGTTAATATATATCGAGAGAGCCTGCTGATGCCCTCCGACACGTCCGAGGATAATCGCACGTTCCTCGAACAAGCGGTCGAACGGAAAATGCACCAGTATCGTTTCTGGGGTGTAGTGAGCGGACTTCTCCAGGAACTGTTGCAATTTCTGTCTGACGTGTTGAGCCATCTGCTTCTCGGCCGGCGTGGCATCCTCGCTCAAACACGTCAAACATTTCTCTTTGTACTGGTGTATCAGAACGTTGTGGAACAAGGGATTGGTGTCTTCCCAAACGTGTACCACGTGCTCCAAATACGTTATGGCTAGATCCTTGTGAGAGCGGAGAAGATAATCCAATACCTTCGGCCTTGGTAATTGTTCAACTTCCTGGAAATGGGGGGAGACTTAGAGGGCGATCGCGATACGCGTAAGGACCGTGTCACCTGTATGTCCTCCATGAAAATTCTGAGTCCTTGTTCCGGATCTTCGTTCAAGACCCAGCCAGCGAATTTCAGGATTAAGTCCATGTGATCTTTGCCGAGGTGTTGTAAGTACTGTATCGTTCTCGCAGTGCCCTTCAGACTAGAATCATTCTCCTTTGCGTGTTTCTCGAGAAGCTCCAACGCTTTTCTATGCTGCCCCTTGGTTTGGTACAGTATAATGAGCTCGGGATACTTTTGATGCATTAACAACGTTTTCTCAGCTTCCGCTAAATGACAGTGATTCAGTCGAAGCAACGGAGCTACTAGTGCGTCGGTAGTCTGCATCAATATCAATTTGTGTTAGTAGACGGGATCTAAACGGGAAGCGTTTGATATTTTTCTGTGTGGTTACCTGCAAATAACACTTTAACAGAGTCGTGTCTATGATTTTTAACAACTGCTCCGTGGCTACCGCTGTCATGTTCTTTTCTCCTTCCATCAGCAGCAACAGGCTCTTATCTTTGCCGTTTTCCTTCGGCCTTCCGTTTCCTTTGGAGGTGTTGTCGCTCATCAATTTGTGTCGCACCTCCGTGAGGAAAACGATTAACGCGCGCAGACCCTTTTCCAAATCGTGATCCTGGAGTTTCGGCAACTCGGTTTGATCGCTGACCTCGTTGTTGACCGACGGCGTGACCAGATCGGGGAACAGCATTATCACTTCGTACGGGTCTGTCCCCAGTTTCAAGAACAGGTCCATCGCTTCTTGAAATCTTTTATTACGAAACAGATGATGAGCGTACAGCGTTTGAATCTTGTATATTTGTTTCGTCTTCTCTTCCTCGGACACGTCCGATAAACTGGTCAGTTTCAGTGCTAGTTGAAACTGGGTTTGTTCGAGTAACGTCCTGATTTGAAGCGTCACGTCCACCGCCCTCACACACCAGATATGACTGGTAGAAGCTACGAAAACTTTTCCCTGTCTACATCTGTATATGAGCCTGGCTTTGTTCAAATCTTTTATGGTTTGTATGTGGAGGCAACCGTCTATCGTGTAGACTTCCAATTTATCGTGTACAATTCCGAGCAAGTAAGGATCGTCCCAAGCTGAAATACAATTCCATTGAAAGGCGTATTGGAACAGAAGATTGCGTATACCTATCGCGCTCGGTATATCGGTCCATTTTACTGGATTATGCTGGACCAATTCCCCTTTGGTGTCCATTACGAAAGACTGAGAATCCTTTCCCAATACGAACGACGAATCGGATAATTTGGTGACGCTCGGTTCGGGAGACTTTCCAGTTGGGAACAGTTCTTTGGTCTTTCCATTTAGATCCAAGATAGTGTACGACAGACCGCGGAAACCCAAGACTAACGCCTCTCCACACCTGTGAAGATTTCAAATTTCAACATATCATTGTCCGACGACGGAAGTGGGACTGAATTGTCATTATTATTATTATTATTATTATTATTATTATTATTATTATTATTAGGTCTACCGAAAAGTTCTGTCCGTT